GAAGCTTTTCAATTTAGGGACAAGTGTTTTTGGTTTTGTTTTTGTTTTTCTCATGGCTTATGCGGATGCAGCCAAATGCAGTTTACACAGAGCAGTCTGGGACTGTGTTGAGCCCTCACATCCACCTCCCCCTACCCCACCCCACCCCCTTGTGTCCTATTAAAACGTGCTTTCTCTGGTAGGGGATGAGGGTGTGGATAATACACAGCCCCGCTTCTCGAGGACCACCCTCTCAGCATCAGCTGGAGCTTTTAAACATGCAGCACATGTTATGCTTTTATTATTATAAAAATGCATGCTTGCTTTAGACAATTAGGAAACTTATAACCTTCCCATCTAAAATGAAAAAAAAAATTTCATATTCAGTTCCATTCTCCTAGTACTAAACTATATTAGGTAGCCTTCTAATCGTCTGTATATCTTTTCTGCAAACATCATATAGTAATGTTTTACAACCTACTTTTCTTATTTAATAATATATCATGGATATGTTCTGATAAGTTTTTAAATGTTCTTATATAGCACCATTTTAAGATCTGTATAATTTTTTCCTGCATGGAAATATAGACTTGATATAGTTTATTCAACCAATCTTTAGTTCTTGGATATTGAAGCTGTTTTAAATTTGGAGGCCTATAAATATAACTAAAGTGAATGTCTTTGTAGTGATAGCTTAAGGATTCATGCACATTTGTTACATGCATCTTCGTGGTGTATTTTCATCATTTTTATCCTAAAAAGAGGATTAGACAATGCTGTGTTTAAACACTAATACTTTGCTGTGCACACATTTCCCTTTGATTTTGAATTACTTTCATCCTGACTTTTCAGGCCTGGATTCCANGGCCGGCCCCCCAGGGTTTTGACTACATTCTCTTTTGCTTAGTTCCAGAACATTCCCTGTCCATATTCTCTTTTTGGAATGCCAAGTTGTTTGTCTTTACATACACCATACACGTTAGCTCACTGTCCTTCCTTCATCAGCCTCACAGCTGTGGGCAGAGTCAGCTTAATCTGTATGTACAGGGTGTGTTATGGTAAGTCCAATGTAAGAACAGTAATCCTCCATGAAATTCAGATCCCAGGCTTCTTAGAATATGTAGAAGCTGTTTAGTCTCCTTTGTGACTGCATTCTTGCCAATAGGGCTGTTACCCGAAGGGCTGCCAGAATTCCCCCACTCAAGCTGTAGAGGAGAAATGGCTTAGGGAGTCAGTGCAGGTAATTTGCTGCTCAGGATTTCATTGTGCTCTCACTTGCACCTACTCTCCCAATTCCCCTTTCATCTCGCTATTCCATTTCTCAATCTCCCTTTTCTTTCTAACTGATGAAACACATACACGTATGTGTGTGCACACTTTTTACTGTTGTATTAAATATCTACCATGTTTATTACTCTTCCTCACTTCAAAAGTAAGCTTTTACTTTGGAAATTTGACCTTCTCAAGATTTTTTTTTTTTTTTAAGATTTTTATTGGGGAATTGGGGGAGGGGAACAGTGTTGGGGACTTGGGGACAGGGACCAGCCAAGTTGTTGTTCTTCAATCTTAGTTGTGGAGAGCGCCAGTCGCCATCTGGCTGCCCATCAGCAGCTCTTGACCTCTGAGCTCAAGGTGCTGTGTTCAATCTTAGTTGTGGGTGGGCGTAGCCCACCATCCAACAGGCAATCTTGTTGTTACACTGGCTGAGCCATCCGGCCACCTGTTGGCAGCTCAGAGACAGCTCAGCTCGGGCACAATGTCACTGGCCCATGTGGGAGTTGAACCGGCTGCCCTGTTGCTCAGAGCTCATGCTCAAGCTAACTTTTAACCAACTGAGCCACTCAGCTGGCCCCAAGATTTTTAACCTTTATAAAAATAACATGATATTCACATTATAAAACCTACTACTATCTACTAATACTATGAGTTATGTGCTTTTGTCAAATATATTTTTAACCTTATATTCGTGTATGATTATAATATGCTAGGGTACACATTTATTTTCATTTTTTGAAAGGACCTTGTCAGTTTTTTTTTCTCTCTCTGCTTTCCTGGCTGTTAGAAATAACCGTGCTGTGACCATGTTCAGAGGACAGTTTATATAGAGGATTCCTCAAAAAGCCAGGGTTAAAAGTGGATTAGTTGTTAAGTAGTGCTATCTTTTTCTGAAGCTGGGACTATGGGGAAATGAGAGGTGACACCCCTCCCCTCCCCCACTGGTGACGAAGGCTTCTAATGAGTCCCTTCCTGGTAGCTCCCTTGTGTTTCTAAAACAGTTTGTTGTGATTGAATAACAACTCAGTTATATCTACCTACATTCTTCAGGCAGAAAGACGATACTGGGTCAGGAAATAGCATTGGAAAGTCATTTCTCATTTAGAAGGATGATGCCAAGACATGGTGGAAACTGGGGGCAAGGGAAGGTCAGTGTGGGTCCTTGCCCAGAGCTGACTTACCTGCACAGACTGAGACCCAAGTCCAGAGCCAGGGGGTTTCTGACCACTGCTTGAAAAGAGGGAGCCAGCCTCAAGAGCCTGGACACCCCAGCTTTCTTTCTTCATCAACTGTTTTTCTTTTCTTGCCTTAACGGGTGCTCTTGCTTCCTATCCTGCAGGTGGACTCTCTTTAAAAGTTTCGTAACAATGTATGACCTGGCTTCGGTCAGTTTAAAGCAGTAAAACTAGAAAGAAAGAGGGAGGGAAATGACTCAAAAATACATGCTGGAGACATGTATTTTTTTAGGCATCCCCCCTTCATGTTCTTTTTGGAATGGAATGAGTCATAGGTATAAATAAAACACACACATTTGTAGATATTTGTTAAATAATTTTACTGAAGGAATACGTATGTGAGTAATTTTGTTTTATTTTCTAACTAATTTGTTTTTCACACTTTTTCTTTTTTTTTTTTAATTAAAGCTTTAAGAAGTCAAAGAATGAAAATAGCCCTGATACCCAAAGAAGCAAATCTCACGCACCGTGGGAAGAAAATGGCCCCCAGAGGTAAAGGAAAGCTTTGTTGTTCTAAAGGAGAACAGCAGAAAAGGGGTGAGCGTTTGCCCTCATCACATAATGGAATCCAACTGCTTTGTGGCTGGTCATGCCTCGCTCTGGATGAGGCAGCTGGATTCCTAAATTGGTGTGACCGGGAACTTCTGAAGTAGAAGTCAACAGGATGTGTCCTAATGTGAAACTCGGTCTTGGAAAGACAGAAGGGAAAACTAGTGTATATTAAGAAACGGCCTTGGAAGGTTATGGTGATGATTTAGAGAAAGATAATGAATTTCTCAAAACTCTAAATGAAATATGTTAATGATAATTTCTCTAATTTCATAGTTCTTATAAAAACTTTAGTTGTAAGCTGTAGCTGATGAATAGTGATTCTAGAAGACCTTTATTCCATATATACAGAGGGTGCCAAAAAATATATATATACACATTTTAAGAAGGAGAAAACTGTATTAAAATTGTAATACAATGAAGGATGTGAGCATTCATTTGATTAATGCCATCTTTTTTTTTTTTTTAAGATTTTGGGGAATTGGAGGAGGGGAACAGCGCTGGGGAATCAGGGGAAGGGGAACAGACAAGTTGCTGTTGTTTTGTTCTTCAGTCTAGCTGTGGAGGACGTTGCTTCACTAGCCCATGTTAGTGTTATCATTGTGCTCTTCCCAGGTGGGGCAGGTCCGTCGCTGGCCTCTGGACGGCCGCTCACTGTGGCTCTTTGCAGCTCACAGCAGCTGCTGGCCACTCACGCTGGCTGCCAGCCACACACCGTAGCTTATGGCAGCCCACAGCAGCAGGGGCTGCAGCCTACGCCGTCAACTCAAGGCAACCCAGCCCCAGGTCGAGCTGTTGTTCACCATGAGGGCAGTGTCACTGGCCCCATGTGGGATCTGAACCGGGGGCCCCGCTGCTCAGAGTTGGCGTCCCAAGCCAGCTCTTAACCAATGCGCCACTCGTCCGGCCCTAATGTCATCTTTTGAGCTAACGTTTTACTATGCATTGCTACCATAATTCAATTCAATGAACTTCGAAAAGTAATACATAGATGACATCTCTTAAAATGTGTACATTTTTTTGGCACCCACCCCCAGTATGTATATTTTAATTTCTTTTGTTCATAACTACCAAACCAGTGACAGACCTGCATTATAACTTACTGGCTATATAGCTATGATGGTTTCAGGTATGATCACCCAGGGCCTCACATTCTGGCTTTAGCACTTTCCAGCTACTTTACTTGGGCTCCTTAATTAAACTTTATGTATTTCTGGTTTCTTTTTTGTTAAATGGGCCTAATAACTGTACTACAGTGCTTAGGGTTGATATGAAGATTAGCTAAGATAATGAATACAAAGCTTTCAGCTTGGTCAGCACCTGTAATGTGGTAGGTTTATCATAAAGGTAATTCGTTGTTATTATTGCTATCGTTTGCGTCTGCTTGTTTCTTACTGTTAAAGGCCAGTGAGACAAATCCATTCTTGCAAAAACATAACTTTTATGATTTGTTGTACCAGATCTTACCTCTTTTTTCTTGTAATATATCTTGTCAGCAAAGAGAACCATGTGTCCCCAGTCCAGTAGTCCCCTGCAAGTACCAACTGTGTAGCTATGACCACTTCCCTAGAAGTGTCACGCTTAGGGTTAGGGCGTTTGCTCCTCCAGGTCCTCTGTAGCGTTACTGACCATTCCTCTTTCACTTCAGTGGACTCTACAACTCCCCCAACGACCGCACGAAATCCCCCAAGTTTCCCTACATGCGCCGCCGAAACCCCTCCTGTGGGAGCGACAACGACTCTGTGCAGCCAACCAGGAGAAGGTAAGCTGAACCAGCCCCTCCGTTTTTATTTTCAACAGGAGCTCTGAGTCCCAGTCACTTTTTCTCGCAGGCTATTCTCACAATAGCATGACTGTTTGTGTTAACAGAAAGCTTATGGTTTTTGAGGTAAAATAAGCTAGGGATCCTGAAGCATTTCTCTTAAACAGCAAGGGTTTCAGAGAATAATTTCAGAAATTTTGACGAGAACTTGCTTTCTGTATTGTAATTAAGACTGATGAGTTAAAATATGCCTATAATGTATTTTCATACTACATATTATATAGTATGTGTAATACATTATAACACAGTATATATTAATGCTATATGTTAATATGTAAAAGATATTAAATGTTTTGACCTGAGATGACAAAACATGTTTATCGATAAATCTTAGCTGAGGTGACGTACTCTCTCTCTAGACTGATATTGTTGCATAAATGTGAGTGAAACCCCTTTCAAAGCACAGAGAAAATGAATCCTGTTTTTACCTAGCACATCCCATCGTGTGTGTGCGCGCGCGCTTAATTTTTTTAAAAAGTCCATATAGAAGTTTTGGGCTGTTTTTGCAAAGCAGGCTGTGCAATGTGACAGACAGATCCAAGAGGAGAAGACCCACAAATGACTTACCAGTGACATTCATTTCATGCTTACAGGATGGGGGGGGGGGCTGTGTCTTACTTGGGTTCCCTACATAAGTGGTATTCTGTGAGTGACATTTATGACAAGTTCAGGTCATGTTCTCAGATAACAATCCAGATTCTTTTTATGTACACTGTGGGTCTGGGAAATAGAAACCCTTCTCTCTTCTATGCCCTTGTTTTTACTTACTTGCTGGTCCATTCCTGTTTGACTCCTACTTCTGCCATTTTCCCCAGAATCTTATTCCCCACCTTTCTCAAACTAGGTCCAACTTCACGGAAGTCCTTGGACAGTTAAGAAGAAAAAGGGCTATATCACTTTCACCTAGTAGAAATGAAAAGGGGGAGATAAAAGGGGGAGATAAATCATTCTTAATGAGACAGAATAATGGAGTAATAGCTGGCATTTACCCTGTCCCAAGTACTGAGCACATTGCTTGCTATAGATTATTATCTATTTGATCCTTATAATAATCATGGAAGTGAGCATTTGTACCATTCAGCCAATAGGCATTTTTAGCAGAGAGGGATTAATGCAGGGAATGTTGGTGCACAAATGTGAGTAGGATTGAAGGAACAAAAGATAGGGAGTAGTGCAACTCTGAGACCTGGATACTGTCCTGACCCTGGGCTGGAGGAATGAAAGGAGAGAAGCAATCGTTACCCAGACACCCAGAAGCTGCTTCTGCCTCTAGCTGGCCTTCATGGGCCTGTGCTTATTGCTGACATTGCTGTCGGCACCAGCCTGTAGGAGCGGCTCTGGCTGCCACTGCGGGAGGTACCACCACCGTAGCTAAAACCAGGGACCCTCCACTTCTTAGGTAGGCAACGGTGGGTGCCACAGCTACTGCCAGAAGCACAGTTGCTTCCCCTCTTCTCCTGCCTTACATCTCACCTGAGTGCCTCTCACTCTGAACACCCAGCTGGCAAAGGAATCCAAAAAAATGTAATTTTCAGGTGTCTAGTCTTCGCAGCACCAGGAAGATTATAGATGGGTTGGGGGGGTGCGGTCTGAGTACCACTGGGAAGTGCCTGGCCCAGCACTGTCATCTCACTGTTACAGAGGAGAACACTGAGGCTCAGTAGATGATGGTAACTGTCCTTTGTAACACATCTGGGATTTGGATTCAAGTCTGTAAATCTGAAAAAGGCAGGGATAATGAACCGTCATTTACATAAGGCAAGGGAAAAGATTTTCTGCCCTCCTCCCCTATCAAGGATTGGTTCAGCTTGGACAACCACCACTAGGAAATACTTTAAAGTGCATTTGTGTGTATATGTGTGTTGGTGGGGGAGGGTAGGTAGTGGGAATCACTAAATATTTTAAGAATTTGGCACTCTATGATTATTATTAGATAGGTTTTTACAGTTTTTCATCCTTAATTCTTAGTATACTTTGTCATCATTCCCTAAATAAAGTAATTACACAATTGAGTAGATGGTCATTTTGATTTTCATATATTCAAAAATGAATTTATCAAGTTTTGCTAGAAATGTACCAAAATTTACATTATTATTTTTTTCAAACTAGATGCTTGAAATAGTTTGGAGCATATACATTCTCAAATCCACACCTAATGGCCTCTATATTGAGATACATTTTCAGTTGGCTCCCTGTGAAATACAGAGCAGCAATTGTGTCGAGTGGTTACAGGATCCTTTCATTGGCACCATCCGGGAGAAAGACCATTTTGATTTTGGCCTGAGCAGCCACAGAGCCTTCTGTCTGGTTCTGGGTGTCCCTTGAAAGGTCTCTTATTCGGCATGTGTGTTTTGAGGAGACTCACCATCATGGCTGTCTGTTGACATGGAAGAGTTAAAGCTCATTATTTGTTTGTTTTCACTGTAAACAGCTTATAAATAAATGCCTCTGTCCTTGTCAGTCTTGTTTTATCTTCACACATATTTACCTTGCCCCTGGGCACAAATCCCTATGTAGATGGATTAACTCTGACATTTAAAACTGAGGTTTGTCATCAGCATGGAAGAATCTCGAGAACTTAACTTTAATAATAGGAAATTCTATTTTGTAACGGATGCCAGGATAACATGTTTTGCAAAAGCTATCAAGATTTCATATTTTGCCAGTTGTTTGTCCTTAGATAGATAGATACATCTGTCAAATTCTGGCGGAATCTAGAACATTGGTCCTTAATCTTTTGGCTGATAGAACTCTGAGAATATGATGAAATGTTGGATTCATTTCCTGGAGGTGGGGAATATATGATGAGATACACATACAAACTTCCATATAATTTTCAAGGTTCATGGAGACCCTGAAGTCTGCTTGTTTAAACATTCCTGTTTTAGAAAAAGAAAGCCAGCATACTTTCTGGCAGTATAATTTATTGTCATCCCCATTCACCTTTATACTAAAAAATATTTATTGAGTGCCTACTTTATGCCAGACACTGTGTTAAACAACACTAGAGAAATTCTCTGTCCTTTGGGAGCTTACAGTTTGTTGGAGAAGAAATATACAATCACACATTTTTTTCCCCCTCTGATATTGCTATTAAGCAGCTCAGTGACACAATTCTGATTTGTCACCATTTGTGCATGGACTTTTTTTTCCTCTCCCACGTTTCTCCCCTGCTCCAAGTTTTAAAAATTCTTTCTTAATCTGTAATGTTTTGAAATGTAATGATACTGGATTTTGGTATGGATCTAATTTTTCAATCTGTTATGCTAAATGCTAGGTGGGTTCTCTGTCTATAAAGTTAGATCATTCACTTCTGGAATATTTTCTTGTATTATTTCTTTAATAGTTACCTCTCTTGCATTTTCCAGGGTTTGTGTCTTAGAAATTTCATTAATTGAATATTTGATATCCAAAACTCCTGATGTCTGTCAGAGTACTAGACAACAGACCATCCAGGTGAAAGCCAGAGGGCAGAGGGTTTCAGGAGGGATGTAAGTGGAATTTGTAGATTATCTGAGTATTTGTCCATCTCGGAAGGAGTTTTGCAGTTCTCTCAGAGAGTTTGGATGAAGAATTAGTGATAAGCGTAAGGAAAACTAAGCAACCAATAGGTGCATAGAAAACTATGCAACTATTATCTTTAAGAAAATTGTAAAACCTGTACAAGAATAGAATTGTATTTCTTGAACACTATATAGATTATCTGTGAACAATATTTATATAGTTGTGTTTATACTAAATAGTTATCCAGAAATTTGGTGTGAGAACAGAGACGTATCAAGTTATTTATTTGATATACGTGTACTGGGGAAATGGAGGGATGTAAGTTATGATGGTGGCGTCACAGAGCCATTTGTGCCCCAATCAGAGTACAAAGGCGCGTATAATAAAGAGTAAGAGAATGGCGACAAGGGGCTTAGACACCTCTCAAGAAGTTTGACTTTGAAGGAGAGAGAAGAGACTGGGCAGAAGATGAAGGGGGATGGGTGGAGTCAAGTAGGGGTGTGTGTGTGTGTGTGTGTGTGTGTGTGTGTGTGTGTGTGTGTGTGTGTGTGTAAATAGGAGAGACTTGAGGATGTGAAAAGCTGGTAAAAGAATTTCCCATGAGGACAAGTTGAAGAGTATATGTGAGAGGCAGGAGGGTAGTTAGTGAAAGTCATTGAGAAGACCAGAGGTGATGGAAACTTCCTAGCACAGGCAGAGGGACTGACCTTAGTTGTACAGACAGATCTGTAAATAACAAAGAGGGGGATGTTGGTAACTTTTATTATTGGTAAAATGAAGTTAAAGAATTGCCATCTGATGGCCACTTTTTCCTTTGGAAGGAGAAAACAAAGTCACCTGAAGCAATGGTGCAGTGTATCAGAGGGCTACAAGGCGAAAAGAGTTTGAAACTGCTTTGTAGAAATAGAGTACTTAGATCAGAGAAGGGTGGTGAGATTGCTGGGTCATGTTGTGGGTCCACTTGTGGTTTATGAATATGAATTTCTAGTGTAACTCATATTCTTTTGTGGAACTCTATCTAGCACTGCTCAGCCGGCTGTTGAGGGCCAGCCCAGAAACCTGGATACTTGGGTTGAGCCGTGCTTGGGTTCTTGCCAAAGAGACTGAACACAAACAAGGGAGTTGGAGGAAGGCTTGAGTACTGGCATGCATGCTATTGAGATGACAGGGAGGGAGTGGAGAAAGTTGAAGAGCTGATGGAGAGTTGCAAAGTCAATAGACAAGTAGTCCTGTTGATGTCAAGGAAAGATAGAATGGAAGTGGTTGAAGAAGCAATAATAATAATAATAATAATAATAATAATAATAATAATAATAAAATAATAGCTAACATATATTGAGTGCCTACAATGGTCAGGTGCTAGTCTATGCATTTTAAGTGCATTAATTCATTTTATCCTCCTAACAACCCTTTGTGGGAGGTTCTGTTAAAACTGAGGTACCAATTAGAAAAGTGATGTGTTTAAGTCACACAACTCTTCATCAATGGAGGAGAAGGAGTCCTTGTTCAGGCTGTTTGGCTCCAGAGCCCGCACATTTAACCGGAATGCCGTATCAAAGTTGTCTGAAGGTAAACAGGAGTGGCAAGCAGGAAGGAGAGGAGATTGTGGTCAGAAAGCACAGTGTTTGGAGGTGGTTACAGATGGTAAAGTCGAGAGTGTGACCGTGGTGTGGGTTGCTGCCTGATGTGAGTTTACTAGGAAAAAGGTAGAAGGGCTGGGGTGCCAGGGTGCTAGAAAGGGCATCCAAGTGAGAGTGACATCAGATTATAGCAGAAAGTGGCTGGTGGATTGCAGACCTGGGAGCTGCAGACTGACCCCATCATTGGACGAATGGAACTTAACAGACACACTGTGCATTGTTATGTATAGACTGTTTGCATCCCCTACTAGGTTACTGGCTTCTTGAGGCCAGTTGGTGTTAGATTATATTTCTGGGCTTGGCACATATTTGTGATTTAAATGTTTGGTGAATAAATGAATACATAACAGATATGCATTCACTGAAGTAAAACTCATTTTGGTATGCTTTTTATTTTTATTTGTATATATTTTTTTAAGATTTTTATTGGGGAATTGGGGGAAGGGGAACGGACAAGTTGCTGTCCTTTTGTTCTTCAGTCTAGTCGTGGAGGACATCGCTTCACTGGCCCAAGTTGGCACCATCATTGCGCTCTTCCCAGGTGAGGCAGATCAGTTGTCGGCTTCTGGATGGCTGCTCACTGCGGCTGCTGGCCGCTCACGCTGGCTGCTGGCTACAGACAGTAGCCCATGGCAACCCACTGCAGCAGGGGCTGCAGCCTCCGCCGTCGCCGGCGACTCACGGCAGCCCAGCTCCAGGTTGAGCTGTTGTTCAGCATCTTAGCTGTGGAGGGCAGTGTCACTGGCCCTCATATGTGGGATCCGAACTGGGGCCCTCTGTCGTCCCAAGCCAGTTCTTAACCAACGCGCCACTTGGCCGGCTCTTGGTATGCTTTTTAAAAGCCAGTTGATAATTTTTATTTTCTTTCATGTCTTCATTTTTTTTTCTTTTTTCCCCTATAGGAAAGTCCATAACAGCGGTGAAGACTCAGATCTAAAGCAAAGGAGGAGGTAAAAAAAAAAAGACCCCAAGTTGGAAGGAGAGTCAGGGAGAGGGAGGAAAGATGAGCAGATTAGCTTAGCTCAGAGTTGAGGCTAGAGTGGGGCATTTTTTTGTTTATTTTATGATTGGCTACTTTAAGAGTATTATAAATTTGTTTTTTAACTTCCAAATACCAGCTTGGACTTCAGCTGGCTCTCAGTCTTCCATTCTGTAGCATCCTTAGCAATTTCTTTTTTTTTCTGCTCCTTTGTGTCTCAGAGGAGCTGTCTCGGCTATTATTGCTACATTAAAACCACCCCCAAACTTGTTGGCTTTCAAAGCAACAACCACCGTATATCTCTTTTATAATCCTGTTGGTTCAACAGGCAGTTCTTAGCTAATCTTGCTAGTTTCAGATAAAGCTGCAGTCAGGTCGTGGCTGAGGTTGGATCAGTCCTTTCTCTCTCATATTTGGTGTCTTGGCAGAGTGGCTGAAGGCCTGGGGCCTCTCTCTCTCCATGGCTAGCCTAGGCTGCTTTATGTGGTGGCTGGGAGGAAGCAGCTACCAACCCTGTTAAAAGATAGTCCAGGAACTGGCAGAGTATCCCTTCCACCCCATTCTATTGATAAAATCAGTCATAGGACCAGCACAAATTCAAGGGGAAATGAAACAAACCTCTCTCAATGTGGGGTCGGGGATTGACAGTGTGACATGATTTTGTGTCCATGTTTAGTCCACCACATGGGCTTATCGCTTTGCCATGTCAGAGTTCTGTTGAAAGTCTTGATTTTCTGGTCCTTTCTGGGAGTAGGGCGACATTTGCCTTAATCTCTTTTCACATTTCTTTAGACTCTTCCAGATGCCTGACTAAATTGAGAAACACTGACTGGGGGAGGGATAATACTTATGCTTGGATTAGTAATTTTACTGCAGAATTCATTCCAAAGAACCAACATGAACCTTTCTGAAATTTTTCATTTGTCTTAAATGCGTGTTTTTCTTTTTCTCTTATTGTGTCTTCAGGTCGCGCTCACGCTGTAACACAAGCAGTGGCAGTGAATCAGAAAATTCTAATAGAGAACACCGGAAAAAGAGAAACAGGTAATATTGGAATATTGCAGTTAACTGGACCTCCAAACTCAGAGGCTGCTGTTGGTGGTAAAAGCTCGGTGTCCTAAGGTATTGTCTCATCTGTGTTTAAGAAGGAATCTGTCACTACTTTGAAGTATTTCAGGAAACCTCAGCTCTTTGAACTGAGTTTCTTATCTTTATAATAAGATGATTAAACAACTTGACAATGAGGTTCCTTCTTGTTAATTAAAGAAAAAAAAAGATAATCTGTATGTAGGTACAACGTGTGGTGAATTTGTCTAAGGGTGGCAAGAAATTTTACTGCTGGTAGAGGGATTACTTCCTGAAGGGTCTTTTAACATGACATGACTATATTTTGCCCAACCCAAAACAAGAGACTTATTGTTTCATAGATTTTATAGTTTCAGCTTCATGTGTAGGTACATGCAAATATGTGTTTATATTTATGTCTGGCACTCACAATTAGGGAAATGTAGTTAGTTCATAGCTTTAAGACTCATTTTAAAGAGCTTGTAAATAACATCATTTGACATGGAATCAGTATTAGGTATATCTTAATGCATTTATCAGTTCTCCCTGTTACAAAATACTTACTTGGAAACCAGTGTTCACCTAGTAAAAGAACATCAGGTTGGGAGTGAGAGGAATTTGGATGCTGGTTGTACCAGTTTCTAATCCAGTGGTTCTACCCTGGGGGCAATTTTGTCCTCCCCCTCCACCCCCTAAGGATATCTGGTATTGTTTTGAGACACTTGTGATTGTTACACGTTGGTGGGGGCATGTTTAGCAGGGATGCTCAACATTCTACAATGCATAGGACAACCCCCCACAACAAAGTATCTGGTCCAAAAATATGTCCGTAGTGCTACTGTTGGAAGCCTGTTCTCACCTGATGTGGAACTCTGGCTGGGTTGCTTTTACTTTTCTGGGTCATCTTTTTCTCTTCTGTAAAATGAGGAAGTTGGAAGAGATAATCTCCAAGGTCCTTCTTTCGTGCTTGGAGCCCTTGTGCTTGGCACTCACTGAGTCAGCCTCCCTGTCTAACTATAAAACAAAGCCTAGTCCAGACAGCATTGTGAGAGCGGACCATTTTCTTAGGAAAGCTGTCTACGTGGAGCCTTCTTAGGGGCTGGATTCACACTCCATTGAGGTGAGACCTCAATGTGTTTTGACACTCTCCTCAAGGAAATTATTTCAGTTTCTTCATCTTTAAACACCCACGTGTGGAGGGCAGCTCTCCCTGAGTGCCCTCTTCCTGCTCTAAAATTCAGTATGTGCACAAACAACACAAAACAAAGCCAAACAACCAACCAATCTCCCCCCCATTTGTACTTTTTGATCAAGCCAGTATCTTAACAAATATATTTCTATTTTGCTTGGTGTATTCTAAGTTGTGCTCATAGATACTCTGGTCTCAACTTCTCAGAAGGTGGCCTATTTAAAAGCAGTGTCTTCAGGGGCCGGCC